ATATATATATATATATATATATGTATAGTATGATTGCAATTATGCAGATGTAAAATAAACAAGAAACTGAATAGTTAGAAATATTAGATAATTGTAAGAATTCAGAAGGTCGAACTGATAGAATAACTGTTTTATTGCTTGTTGAAAAGTGTATTGCTAGATTTAACTAACGTCAATTAGAAAATTGGCGGTATTCATCCTCAGGAAATTCAAGGTGGCTCTTTAAAGATGTTTTGGTTGTTCTAGAGAATGGAAAGTTATTTTTTAAAAATAATTTGTTCTCTCGTTGTTACCGTTACTTTGTTAGTGCTGAAGTAAGATCAAAGTTTAAAAATTTGTCTAATATATTTTGTTTAAATATTAATAAAAGCAATAAACAACATTGACATTAATTAGACCAATATATGAAAAGATAACTAAGAAGCGATTTTTCGATTCAAGCTAAAGCTTTGAATATATAAAACTTTATGGATTCATTGTCTTAAAGTGGTTAAGTTAATAAAATATTAATTTAGTTTTATAATTCATTGCTATACAATTATATTCTATATGGACATAGCACGGAAAAGATTAAAATAACGTAATGCAGAATAAAATCAAAGATCGTAGATATTATTATAGAGATATATATATCGTAAAACAGTGAAAAAAGAAACGAACTCGTTGTTTTTATTGACAATAAAAAATATATATCAAATATATTTTGTACTTACCTCTTAAACTTTCTTGTTGCTTTCAAAATAATGCAATGAATTAATATATTATTTTCTTAATAAATATTTTAACAAGCTGAAGTAAAAAAAACTTAAAATTTTTGGCTGAAAATCTGTTGAATTAATACAATATCTAGTTGCGTTATAGAATAAAAAAGTTATAAAATTTCACTTCTTCACAAATCATTAAAGATTCTTTATAAAAATTAATTGCCATATCAATCTCAATTTGTCAGAAAAATATCTTCTCATAAATAGTGATTAGAATATGTATTAAAATACTTTCACTTTATATTGATCTATCAATCATTAAAAGTTTAATATTGTACAATATGCTAATAAGCATTTGACATGCAATTCGCCAATAACAAATCAATGTACGAGTATATTATACTTTTCGGTAATAAATAATTCTTTCTTTTTAACACTTTTTCATTGAGCTATCAAATTCTTATGTAGCTATAAACTATGTGACAAATATAATTCATGAGCTTACGGATACTTCTGCCAGCATATCGAACAACCTAAAAAGAAACAATACTATCGGATTATAGAGGCACTTTAACGCGATTTTCATGGCATGAATGACACGATTGTTATGCCGGCAGTTTCATCCTGCTCAACACAGATTTGTAAAGAACTTGTCCTTTTATTACAAAGTGACGTGGATCCGCATATCGAAACGCGAGGCATAGAGGGATTCTCTGGGGAATTTACTCTTTTATGTATATAATTATTTATATCATCAATTATAATGAATATAGTTATGTACAATATTGAATCTCATTCTTTAACAATAACATCAACAACATGATTAAACAACGTTCCTCATTGGTACACAAATTGTAAATGTACAGATAAAAAAGCATTAGATGAGGTCAATGAGGTGGCGTACGCTCAGCGCGCCATTAATTCCCTCTTTTTTTACAATTTTTTAAATCCCCATATATATATATATATACTTATATCTTGAACCATTCTGCGGGTTCTTTATTCGATTTTTCATGAGCT